CATCATCATATATAAATATATTTACATTTGTACATGCCTATATTTAGACCTCTATAAATGCCCTTTGCCTCCTAGTTCTTTCCTCTGTTTCCTTTTACTTTCCTCTTGTCCCACTATCATGCTCAACCTTCATTTGGGTTTCAGTAATTCCTCTTGGTTACATTGCCCTTGATTAATTCCTACCAGGCCTCTTACACACTCCTTGCCACTCATTTTGGATCACTCATTGTTCCCTTCTCCCTGGGTTTGTTAACACCACTTTCTTTCCCCCACCTCCTCCTCTCCCATGTTCCCCCCGGAACCATTGGTCCCGCTTTTTTCTCCTCCAGATTGTTTATCCAGCCTATCTTATCTAGATATACCTGCAGAGAAAATAATATGCACACACAAAAAAACAAGACAGAGCAAAACAAAGCTACAGAAGAAAACAGAATAATAATAACAACAACAAAAACCAATGACACAAAAAAGAAAAACCTGTAAATAGTTCAAGGTCTGTTTGTTGGCCTTTAAGAGTGTTTTCTGGTCGAGTCTGATGGGGTGCCACGCCCTGGGCCCAAAGTCTATTTTTGGTATTCCCTAGGGACTTCCTTGCTCTGCTCCCCTTGCTATTCTGTTGCACACCCTTAGTGTTTTGCCTCTGTGTGGTGGGGTCATATCAGACACAATTCCCACACTGTGTCTCCAGTGTTGTCCCCTATAGGAGATATGGGTCAGTGAGAGACATTGTGTCTTATATTGGGGCCGGCCATATGATCCTCTCTGTGCATTGGGTGCTCTGAGCTGGGATATGGTCCTCAGGCTTGGTGGGCCAGGATGTGCTCTACTCTCTCTTCCTCTCCCTTTATTTGTTCCTGTGTGCTCTGATCACACATGTCCCTCTCCCTATAAACCTCTTTCTTATACACATATGAGTTTATATGGATTTGTTTTTCTAGTCCACCCAGACTAACACAAATACCAAAAGTGACTATAATATCCTGGTTACCATAACAAGATTAACCACACCATTCAGATTACAACATCAAAAGGAACAATATTAAAACAAATGATATATTGAAGAGTAGCCTAAACTAATTGTAGTGTCCTGAACCTGGGTTCATGAGAGTACATTCTAAAATCAATCCCTAGTGGGACTTTCCAAGATGGTAGGGGGAAGGGGGCGGGTCATTTGGCAGCTAAAAAAATAGAGTTTCTTGTGATGGTCTGCCACAAAATCATGATGAACAGCAAATCGATTCATTCCCATTCCAGTTGGGCCTATATGGACTAGAAAGTGACTATGATTACAGATATATACAAATTGAAAAGCGCAACAATCAACAGCCCTAGAAGATTGGTTCATGGCCTTCCAATCACCTTGCTCAGGGTATGGCTCAAGAACCTGCCCTCTAGTTCCCAACTTCCCATAAAGAGGCTGCTCTGCTAAGTCCCTGAAGGAGAGGCTGCCCCTCCAGGGCCCCCTAAGGGAGTGGTAGCCAACACACTCTACCTGAGGCAAAGCTTTTACATTGCCCGTTTACCTATAGTCAGCAAGAATTCAAAGGAGGCTGAAGCTATGTGAGTCTCAAAATGGACTTAGGGCTCCCATCTAGTGCTCAGAATGTAAGCTCCAATACAGACACCATAGATATTATAGCCTTGAAATCTTAGGTTGTTCTACTCTGACCTCTAGGGTGTATTAGAGTTTACATTCTGAGCACCCAGTTTGCACAAGGCTATGGGTAACAGTGAAATCCTGAAATCCATTTTCAGACACCCTCACCCCCCAATGTGGATTAAGCTTCTATTGAATTCCTTCTGACCATAGACTAGGAATGTGAACATCAGTCCATCTCTCAGACAGAGTCTTCTTAGAGTCTTGCCTGAGTGTGTCCTTGAGGGAGACTGCCATACTGGCGTCTCATGGTCATGATCCCTGACTGACCTTGGTTGGAGGGCCTTGGACCAGTTTTGTAAGTTCTTTCTTACACAATGTACATGTCCCAATAGTGGTCTGCTTCCTGCTTCGGTAGGCCCATCTGTAATTGTGATGCATTGATCTGCTGCCTGTCGTGCATTGGTGAGTTTCCTTTGCCCTCTCATGCCATTTTTAAGTCTCTGTTATCTCAGCAAATGGTTGGATGCCATCATGACCTCATGGTAATCTTTATCTTCTTTCAGATTTAACAAATATTCTCCTTCAATTATATTTGAGATGTGGAGTCTTCTTTGTACCCTAAAACAAGGGTCACAGTGAGTCCCAGTAGACCAGAAGGCAGTGGGGTTGATTTTCCCACTCCCTGCTAGACTACAAGCTCATTTCTGATTAGGCGCTGGTGTGCAGAGATTTGTAAAATGCCTCAAGCCTTGGAGACTCAAAGCAATCCATTCACTTCCATTATTAACTTCAGTCACTCCTCACAAAGACCTTATGGTTACAGGTACTGTGTAACCAGCGATTGTGCATTATCTTTTTTTATTAACACCTGAAGAAATGATTTCATAGGAACTGTTATCCCCAATATAGGGCCTGGGGAGTAGTGGTTTATGCGTTGGGCTGTGATCCTCATGGTTGGCAGCTTGAAACCAACAGCAGCTCAGTGGGAGAAAACTGGGTTTTCTACTCCCGTTAATAATTACGGTCTCAGAAATCCACAGGGGGTCACTACGAGACAGCATTGACTCGCTGGCAGTGAGTTTGGTTTGGTTATCCCCATTAAGGGGTCTTGGTTTAAAGACATATTTCATGTGCTCATCAGTGCTTTTTAGTGATACATAGTACTCCGTTGTGTGTATGTGCCAGAGTTTACTGATCCACTCATTTACCAATGGAAATCATTGTGAATGAGGGGGAGTGCAGATTGGGGATCCAAAGCCCATCTGTGGGCAACTGGACATCCCCTTACAGAAGGGGGAGGGAGGGAGGAGATGAGGAGGGAGGAGATGAGCCAGTCAGGGTGCAGCGTGATGAAACACACAACTTCCCTCTAGTTCTTAAATGCTTCCTCCCCACCAACATCATGATTCCAATTCTACCTTACAAATCAGTCTAGGCCAGAGGATGGATGTACAGTGGTACAGATAGGAATTGGAAACACAGGGAATCCAGGACAGATAAACCCCTTAGGACCAGTGATAAGAGTGGCGATATGAGGAGGGTGGAGGAAAGGTGGAATAGAAAGGGGGAACTGATGACAAGGATCTACCTATAACCTCGTCCCTGGGGGACGGACCACAGAAAAGTGGGTGAAGGGAGACGTCAGGCAGTGTAAGATAGGACAAAATAATAATTTATAAATTACCAAGGGCTCATGAGGGAGGGGGAAGCGGGGAGGGAGGGGAAAAATGAGGACCTGATGCCAGGGGCTTAAGTGGAGAGCAAATGTTTTGAGAATGATGAGGGCAACAAATGTGCAAATGTGCTTGACACAGTGGATTGTGAGAAGCATTGTATGAGCCCCCAATAAAATGATTTTAAAAAGGCGGGGGGAGCCTTGGTCTTGTAGTGGGTTATGTGTTACAAATAACCACAAGGTCAGCAATGAGAACTGCCAGGCAGCTTCTCAGCGGGAGACAGATGACACTTTCTGATCCCCTAAAGATGTGCAACCTGGGAAACTCAAGGATAGTCTACTTAGTTTTTTTTTTTTTTTTATTAAACATTTTATTAGGGGCTCATACAACTGTTATCGCAATCCATACACACATCAATTGTGTAAAGCGCATTTGTTCATCATTCTCAAAACATCTTCTCTCCACTTAAACCCCCGACATCAGGTCCTCATTTCCCCTCCCTCCCCGCTCCCCCCTCCCTCATGAGCCCTTGATAGTTTATAAATTGGTATTTTGTCATATCTTGCCCTGTCCGACGTCTCCCTTCACCCACTTTTCGGTTGTCTGTCCCCCAGGGAGGAGGTCACATATAGTTCCTTGTAATCGGTTCCCTCTTTCCTACCCATTCTCCCTTTACCCTCCTGTTTTGCCACTCACACCACTGGTCCTGTAGGGCTCATCCGCCCTGGAGTCCCTGTATTTTCAGTTCCTATCTGTACCAGTGTACCTCCTCTGGTCTAGCCAGACTTGCAAGGTCGAATTCGAGTCTATTTAGTCTTAATGGCACTCTTTGCCTAGGAATTGCCGCGGCGGCAGTAAGGTTTATTTGTTCGCTAGCTTGCTTCTTTATCCGCCTATAAAGGAAGCCTAATTGCCCAAGATCGGTTGCAAGTGACAGGATTCCAATTCAGGAGATCTAACCCCGGAGCAGCTGTCAATCCGGACCCTGCAGCCACAGTCAGTTCTACGGAAGGGGAAACCGAGGCCCGGGCCGGTGCCTTCGTGCCCGGGAGGCTGCGCGCGATCCGACCCCGCCCCGCGAGCGCAGCCGCGGGGCCCCGCCCGGACGTAACAGACTCCGCCCACAGCCCCATGGCAACGGCCCCGGGGGGCGGGCAGGAAGTGCGTCACCCAATGGGAAGGAAGCATCTGCTGGCGGCAACCAATGTGAGCGCCGCGTTCGCCTTCGCTCCGCCTCGACTAAGATCCCAGTCCGGCCTTCACAGTTTGGCTCTGCTCACGCGGCTTGCGTGGTAAACCGGGGAGCGGGGAGCGGGGAGCGGGGAGCGGGGGGGTGGGGGGGTGGTGGAGGCTGGCGGGGGAGGAAGAGGGTTGCCAGGAAGGCGAGGGGACGCGTGCGGTTGGGTTCGGCGACACAGAAGTCGGGGTCCTGCTCCGTCGGGGTCCAGCGCGTGAGGTGGCCGAGCGTGGCTGTCGGGCGGGAAGGGCTTCCAAACGCCAAACTCACTGCCGTCGCCTCGTCGCGACCGCACTGGTGGATTTCGAGGCGGTTAACCCTTGAGGGGAGTAGAAAGCCTCCTCTTTCAAACGAGGGGCAGCTAGTGGTTTTGAACCGCTGACCCCGTGAGTCGCAGCCCAACACGTAACCCACTAGGAGCCTTCGGGAAGACCTGGGGCTTCTCCTTTTTTTATAGGGCAGCTGAGGACCGGGGAGGAGGCACTAACCCCAATAATGCACAATTTCTAAAAAGAGTAATATTAAAAAAAAAAAAACCAAGCGCACTGTCCTCGAGTTGATGGTGACTCATAGAGACCCTGTAGGACAGGGTAGAACTGCGAGTTTCCTAGACTTGAACTCCTAAGAGTAGAAAGCCCTGGACATGGTGGATGCAGCCCAATCAGTGACCAGGGATCTTCAATAATCAGGTTGAAAAAATGCTTTTAACAGTCGTACTAAGTGCAAAAAGCAAAATGATTGGCCACTCTCAATCTGGCAGTTTTCTTTGCACCCCTGTACTGTGCTCCTTAGGCATTTTGGTGGCTTAGCGGTTACGCATTGGGCTGCTAACTGCAAGGTTCGCAGTTCGAAACCATCAACCTCTCTGTGGGAGTAGTCTACTCTCATAGTGAGTTACAGCCCTGGAAACTGACAGGGGGCAGTTAGGGTCACCTTCATTGACTCGATGGCAGTGGGATTTTTTTGCGGGGGTGTGGGTGTGGTGGTTTAATCCTTACTTGGTCTACAGCGCTTTATTTTATATATTGAGTTCAGAATACTGGGTTTCTGTTATTTTAGGATGGTAATATGGTGCATAGACAGTTATACCATGCTCTCAGTGGGGCTGGGGCAGCAGCGACCTGAATCAAACACGTGACTATTTCCACAGCAAGATAGATGCGTGTTTACATGATGGAAGATAAGTAACTCAAAATCTAGGTGTTTTTTTTTTGAAAAAAGAAAAAGGGTTTGCAGCCCTTTTTAGATTTAGAAATCACAGATTTAGGACCAAGTTAATGTTACTGCGTACTCATTTTTCTTGGCTGTCTGGACGGGGAGTGCCTTGAGAAACTGGTTTTGCATCCCTCTCCTCTCTCAATAGATCCTTGTGTCACTCTGTCCCTCTCCATTTCCCTGTCCTTTTCACAGTCCGTCCTGGTAAAGATGAGCGGAGACCAGTCAGAAAGCACAGGCAGGCTCTGGGGGTGTAGGCGGTTAATGCCTTGAGTTGCTAACTACAAGGTCAGCAGTTTGACCCACCGGCTGCTCTAAGGCTGTGTGCTTCTATAAAGGTTTAACGTCTTAGAAAACCCAGGAGCAGTTCTACTCTGTTCTACCAAGTCACTATGAGTCAGAACTCACAGTGAGTTCTGGCAGTGAGTTGAGTTTCTGATTCATGAAGCCCTTTAGCATAGCACAAATGGTTATGATTGAAACTTGCTTATTTCACGAACATTTCTGCTTAAAAATAGGGTTGCTGGTGGTTTGTTTTTGGTGAACAGAGATCCTTCATTTTAATGAAGTCAATTTGATTTTTTTTTTCTTTCGAAGAAATTCTACCCTGCTCCTGGGTCCTAAAGGTATTCTGTTATTGTCATCCATCGTTTCATGGTTTTGCCTTATTTGTCTTTAGGACTTGAATGCCCCATGAATTAGTATTTTACGTAACACGGAGCAGGGGGATTTCATTCCTCCCCCTTCATATGGACAATCAGTTATCCTAGCACCTTTTGTTCTAGTTTGCTTTCCTTCGGAGTTGCATTTATTGAACATCAACCGTTGGACTGCTAATTGCAAGGTCAGCAGTTCAAAACCCACCAGCCACAACCTGGGAGGAAGATGGGGCTGTCTGCACCTGTAAAGATGTACAGGGTCACTGTGAGTCGGAATGGGCTCAGCACAGGACTTGTTTGGTTTGACTGAGAAGTATATAAGCTTCTGTTTCCAAGTTTTCCAGTCTGCCACTCTCTCATTCCCACACTTTATTCATTACTCTTATATCTCTGCAGAAGGACAGGCCTTTATCTTCTCCAGGAATGTCTCAGCTGTCTTCATTCAGCATTTCCATCTTGTCAGATCACATGCAGACAGGTACAAAGCTGGCTGGGATTTTGATCGGCAATGCATTGACTCTTGGATCCACGTGGACTTGAGCGATTGTGTTTAACATGTCACCATTCAGTATTAGGTTTGCAGTAGGTCTTTGTAGGTGTCATCCCGTAGATGGAGGAAATTCTCTTCTATTTCAGCATTGCTGAGAACATTTGCATGAATAAGTCCGAGTGTTATCAACTGTATTTCCACACCTGTTAAGATGATCACACTGGTTTTCCTCCTTTATGAACGTGGTGCCTCACACTCAGTCATGTAGGTTCCCCTTTGACAGTTTTCACAGAGATTGTTCAGTGACATTGGTTGTATTCATTACAATGTGTGAACGGTCTAATTTTTTCACTCTGTTACCCTTAAAATGTAGTTTCCCTGACCTTTTACATTCTTATCTTTGTTTTAAAGTAATTGTTGACCAGTGGCCCCATATAGATGATCCACATTGATCAATGTTTGAATTCTAAACCAACCCTGGCATTGCCGGGATAAATCCAGTTTGGTCATGATGTCATTCTGTGTAGATTGTTGGATTTGGTGTGCTCACATTTTGCGTCAAGACTATTGCAGTTAAATTCATGTGAGAGGACTCCCCCTGCCATCGAGCCAGTCCCAACTCTGAGCAGCCCTGTAGCAAGAGTGGGACGGCCCCAGAGAGTTACCAAGGGGGGACTCTGCTGCAGCTGACTGCCACGTCCTTAGGTGATGCAACCAGTGGGTTTGAACTGCGGACCTTGCAGTTAGCATGAGTTTTGAGATGAACCACTTACAGGAATGGAAACCCCTGTCTTTTGCCTGAGGAGTAGCTGGTGGTTTCGAACTGCAGACCTTGCAGGTAGCAGCCCAGTATGTACCCACTAAATCTCCACGACTCCTTTCATGAACAGATAACAAGAACAGCAAAACCAAACTCACTTCCATGGAGTCAGTGCTGACTCATAGTGACCTCTGTGGGTTTCTGAGACTGTAACTACGGGAGTAGAAAGCCCAGTCTTTCTCC